GATCGTCAAGGAATGTTCCAAATATTGCTACTAAATTGAAAAAGTAGGTGTCCACTGCAGTGGACAAATGAAGTAGCGGGTTAAAAAACCGGAAGCCATTTGTTCTACACGCGAAGCGTTACATGTTCATTGCGATTCGGTTTACCAAATACCGAATCATTAAACGTTATGTTTAAACAGCGGAATATTTAACGAGTTCAATGTTAATTCTGAATCCCAACTGTACTTCGGTTTATATTGAATATTTTATGAGATTATCTTGCCACAAAAATTCCGTACAAATATACAATTTACGCGTCGATGGTGCCATTGTTCAAGAACCGCATTGAATATTAAGCATTCATCCATTATTCGGAATAGCAACAAAAATAATGGAGAAATCACGAGAAACAGAAACAAGTTATATAAAATATATAAAACAGTGCACCCGACCGTAGAATATTACTCATTGCGCAACCACGAACGCACGCATACACCGGACCTTCAATTTACGCGGAATATTTGCTCGATGTGGTTCTTTATGCGGATAAAAATCGTCTAAATGGAGCCTGTCTGTACGAAAAAACATTCTCAAGAGAAAAGACAGTACTAGTAATAAAAATATTTATTTAAAGAAAAACTAAATGGAACGAATACTATAAAATCACAAAATCGAAAACTGTTAAGAAAATCACGCAGAATAAATTGAAACCCTCCAGTATCACGTTTTCGCTACGTCCATTTTCCTCCGCCGGAAGTGGGGAAAGTTTCCCGTGGAGTCCAGACACAGGGCGTTCAGGAGTAAAAGCAAGGTGCTGAAAAAAGCTAAGAGAAACGATAGAAAGTGGCAGGTTAAAGAGTCGTTAGCCAATTAACCGTGGTCGGAGGTGTAGTTAAAAATTTATCTCGTCGATTACCGGAGTTCGTAACTTCCTACAGTCGCTGTACGGGGAGGAACATCTTCGCAGATCGATCCACGACTCGAAAACGAAGAATCGAAGTCTTGGACTGGACTACGACTACCTGTCTTTTATCTTCAAGATGTCAAGCTGGTCTGTGTCTAGTGGACCACCAAGACGGGTAAGAAGATTCAAGGGAAATGTCTACAGAATCTACAACTAAAGTTACAAGATTCCTTCCCTATGGAAGAACATGATGAGGAAGCTACCAACAGCACAAAAACAGTCCAAGTTCTCAAGGATCTCCAAAAAAAAAGAGGGGTGGGGAGAACTGAAAGTTGTTCTACATTCTGCGTTCTTCTCGAGAGTGAAATTAAAAATTTCATTCTGTTCACCATGGTAACAGAACGACCATCGAGGTTCTTCTGCAGTCTGCACCGTTTCCAGGCTCCCGTTGACCTTCTGTTCGTTACCCGACGTCGTGGACCGCTCTCGTCGTCGTCGTCATTAGCGTTCAGAAACGTCCGCTTGGACACAATAAATCCTCATTCTTGGACGGCCTAGTTTCAATTAGTCCCCGTAATTGTCGGGGGACCAGAGTGGTTTCGTGTTTCAGCTTGAAAAATTCGCGAGACTGACACAGCCAGCGTCGTGGGACTCCCTTTATCCCCGGGTAGCTCGCCTATTTCTGGAGAAGACGATCGCGGCCGTACGGAACGGAATTATGTAAAAAGGCCAATTGTTTCTGACTCCCGGTTAGTTTATATAAACTCGCTCCTAGACTACTACGGTTCCAGTGGTGGAACGTGAATCGAGTGCGGTTACACGCGTTCACAGGAAATCGAGAAGTGTCAGCTACGATTTTCTCGGAGCGTTCGAGGTTTGCTATCTTTGGTAGAAAGGAAACAAAGCTCAAAGCTGGAACTGTGTGGCGGGAAGAGGTCCCGTGATATTCGAAAATCAGTTCGAGGGTGGTATTGGATCTTTCAACATTAATTTTAGATTGGTGGATCTTTCAAAATTAAGGGCGTGAATGTTAGTAAGTAGTACAGGTTCGTTAGACTGGTTGGCTTTGTGAATTCTTCCGACTTTGCTACCGGAGGAATAAGTAAATGCAATCTTTCCTCTCTTGGATGTAAAATTATCTTGTCTGTCTAATTCAAAGTATTCCGAAGTAGGTACCAACAAGAATTCAATGATTAGCAGAGGTTCATCAGACAGGTAGATCTTGTAAATGAATCTCCCTTTGACTCCCTGTACAGCAATCTGCCTGTGGGATACTTCAAATTTTAGTAACTAGTACCAGTTCGTTAGACTGCTTCGTTTTGCTGTACTCAATTCTCTTTGCTGACTGTTATTACTAGACAGTTCATTTTATTCATTTATAGTACACTCGTCTGAGATTCAGTGTGTTGACAAGTTCAATCAATTTCAATATGGTTTTTCATTTTGGATCTGTAAATAAATCATTAAGGATTGATATTTGCATAAAAATACCCTGTTTAGTTATCATTATTTAGTACAATAGAGAATAGGTAATAAACATTTACGATATTCCATGACACTTTTTATCAATTTCGACTCAAAGAATACGTCCTCTTAGGTCCAATTCAGTGCAGAACGTGCATTGATTGCGAATGGTACAATTATTTCCGTGGGGGAAGGGGGCCACGAAGTAGCTTTCCGATGGAAACAGAAGCAAATCACGGGGTGCAGTCACTGCCGAGGATTACACGGAAACTACGTTCATAAATTATGCGATTTATCTCGGAGAGGTGCGCGGAAGCTTTTTTAGAATAACGATGAGCAGGATCCCGCTCGAATAACCAACGAGTCGCGCTCTCCCTTTGGATGTTCCTCCCCCGTCTTCGAGGGGTGGACGAACTGAAAATCAATTTGCTCCGTTCAATATTGGCCGATATTTTCTTGACCACGGAGGGAAAAGATCGAATTTCCTTTTTATCGTCGGTTCGTATGGCTAGTCACGGACTCGTTTAAATTATTAGATTTGTTGTCTCCCCCAATCCCTTTTCGTCCTATCTGAATAATGCCTTGTGAATGGGTCTGTTAAAAAAGACAGTTTAAATATGGGCTAGCACTTTTACTTCAGGACGTATTACTTATTAAAATCTGTTGAAGATTTATAAAACGTAACATTTCAATGTACCCAAAATATGTTTCTTTTATAATATCGAGTTAAAATAAGCTTCTTTTTTTCTTGGGTCGTAGTTTCACATGATTCTTATACTTTCAACTAACCCATATTTAAACCCTAGCTTATATTTAGACCATCTCCTGTCTTAACTCTTGAAATGTCCAGAGTTCAAAACCTCGAAGCATAGTTAGTAATTCTAGAGTGTCATCGGTACGTATAATCCTTATCAATAATTAAACGACTGGTCTTTAAATGTTCCCCTTGGAGCAACCCACTAATTCTGTTATTCCCTATGAAGTCGCGCAAACAACATCGTCGTAGCTCGGTCTCATTTTTAATGGATCTGTAGGGATCTCTGATCGACGGTCGCGTGACACGTTTCGAAACATCGTAGAGGGATCGTCGGGATCAATAGGAACGTTATGAATTAATCGTGGCGAAACGAGACAGTTGTTCAGAATCTTCCTGGTTAACTATTCATCGATACCAAATTGTCTCGTTTGCTTTCGAAAGGATTGTTGCGTGCACGCGAATTCGTTCGCGACAAATGGAACGACGATAAGAATACGTCGATTCGACGATGATTAATCACCGCGGATAGATCGACGAGCGATACAACTACTCGTCGATTGCTCGCTGACAGACGGCGAAATCTCGGGAAGGCTTGAACGCTCGGGTAACATGTCTGGCCAACAATATTTTACAATATTTTGCCTCTTTCTTTTTTACCACCATAGCTGCAGAACTAATAATTGCACTTTCATATTGGTCTGGATATTTGTCACTGCGTCGAAACGCGATCGCGACTGTTGGTCGGCTGGCGAACGTCAAACGCAGCCATTGGCATTAAGGGAATAGCGTATATCCGTGGGGGAGATTTAGACGACGAGGTCAATCAGTATCAATCGGCTGATGTAATTGGATCGTGTGCGGAGTAAACGGATAAACAATCTATATACCAGGAACGATTCGCCGTGGTGGAATCGAGATTTTCGCTGACGACGATATACAGCGAGTAAGAAAAATGGTCAAACTAAAGGATTCCAAGTTCACGTTGTGTAATATTAGTTGTACAATTGTTTGGAAATTTTTTGCTTATAATGAACCTTCCTGTAAGTTGGGAATGTCACACACAATAAATAAACCTGGACGATCCAGGGAAGTAGTTGAGAATTCAGAAGACTGAACAGTATTCAAACTAGCTAAAAGTTGGACACCTTAAAAGACTCGCATATAGGGATTGGGCAGTTAAGAGAAAAAATTATTTATTTCGTATTTATGTCGTAATGAAATATTTTCCCAATAATTGTTACACGGATCAAATGACGAATCCAAGGGGAAAATACATAGTTGCCATAACAGAAAATCGTGGACTCCCTTTGAAAGTGGAGCCCGAGGCCATAGGTCCCCTTAATCCGGCGATGGATGCGAGTAATTAAAGATTAATCCCTTGCCATACAATGTTTTTAAGACATCCCTCTCAAAAATTACTTTATAGTTAATATTTTCCCAGATACAAAAACAATTCTATTATTATGGCAAGTGTTACATTTATTCTAAACCTTAAATGTTAATACCATCGAAAGAGTATTTCACGTCGACTCAAAGAAAATTAATAATATACATGTTTACTAAATTCAGTTTGAAATCGTTATCAGACGTGTCAGACTCGACATTCTAAGGCAAGGGGTTAAAAGAAATCGGTCCGTTCCATGCTCTTCTTTGTCAAAGAATCATCGTCACAGCGATCGTCCAATCGATCTACGTCCCAGCAACGTGGCCCGCCACCGGTTATCATTGTTTCGAATTAAGGGTACCCTCGTTTAACAGCAAAGTCCACTCTGTCTGCGCAGCCCGCGCGTCGTTCGCAACGTGACACCGTCGACGAAACGGAATCGAGAAACAATAAACGCCACTAGAACGTGTATACGCGTGTGTGTGTGTGTGTGTGTGTGCGCGGCTACAGTGAGATGATCGACAGCCAGTGAGGCGAAACGAGCATTTTTCGGGTCGTGGAACTAAAGGTGTCCAAATCGAAGATGGGAAAGGTATTGGCTCGCGGCGACGATGTCACACCAGCCACCGATGACAATCGGTTACAGGCGAAAGCTTTAACATCGTCGCTCCGATTTTCGTCGCACGTTTTTATCACCTGTCCCGACTGCATGTCACCTGGAATTCGGAATGTGTGCTCGTCGTTTTTACTCGACCGGTGAATATGTACACATCCGTTCATAAGTATTAGCACATTTATTATTAGACTGACTTTTATGCAAAATAAAAGTTTCTATAGTAATTATAAGTTTTATAATAAAGAAGGTACTACTATAAGTGTATTTTCAATTACATTTTTGGTACTACTTCGAAGTGTTCATCATAATTTGATCACCCACATACATGAAGTAAACGAAACGAAGCATTACAAAATTATTGAAGGTCTGAAATAAATATTGTCTAGGGAAACATAAAGCTCGATCGACTACAATTAGTCTGATATGAACTAAAGTTAAAGTGGCCCAAAATGTATAATATTTTTGAAACGTCACATTTTCTTCATACAAGCCAGGTGTCCTAATACTTATGAACAGCAGTGTACACATCACGATCGCTTTATACTATTCTTCTTGAGAAGCTGCGCGTGTGTCGTAATTATTCACAGTAATTATTGCGGCGAGAGTGACGTGACCGAGGGCCGTTGGAAATTTCAGCTTCACCGGCACGCCTGCAATCTCATTAAACTGAATATAACGCATCCAAGCATTTCCGCGGGGCGCAGTTTGCTTCGCAAATATTATCTCTATAAGCGATTAACGGATAACCGGAGATCTCGTTAAAGAAGCCTTCGATCAGCCGTTTGGAACCGTTTAGAGCCTATTTGCGACGAATATGTGCATCAAAAATTGAAAGGGTTACACTTACCTGTATAATCGTTATTGTATCGAATGTGTAACTCTATGTAACACTAGAACTACCGACGATAAATGTAGTATACACTGCGTGGCATATTTGTAAAACCATCCTGAAATTTTCAAGTCTTATGTATGATGGTTAAAACAAAAACGAACCAAGTATGCAATGTTTGAAATCGCGTTCAGAAATAATATTTCTATAAAGATAGGTTATATTCCCTAGAAAAAGAAAGTGGTTTGTTTTTATTTTAACCACGATACATAAATATTGCAAATTTTGGTATTGAAAATTGTATTCTTATAACATTTTCACTTATTTGGTAGTTCTAGTATTAAGTTCATGATTCGGAACATGAATATTATTCACTGCTCGTGTTTAATTAACGGGGATTTAGGGATAAATTCTGTTCTGTTTTCTTTCAATTCTTATTACCGAACGGGTTAAAGCCTCAGGCAGAACCGACTTGTTCTCTCTAGACTGTATTACGAGTTCCCATGTTTTATCTTTCATTTGTTTATTTTTTTTTTTTGTTCTGTTACATACAGGGAATGTTCTCAACGGCGAGCGGAAAGCAGCAAGTATGCCTGCTGTTCTTCGTCCAAGTCGTCCTAATTGCGCTAATGGGCGCGCTGATGACATATGGCCCGGAGGCGAACGCTAATTTGCTAAAAAATCACGCAGGTCAGTAATGCAGTTCTCATCCACAGCCGATCCCACGCGTTCGTGAGTTAATGCCGTGACGTAACTTATCGCGACAGCCACGTATCGTTACATATTCGCCAGTGGAAGTGTCAGTTTCGGAATTATATCACGGGAAAATTCTTCCGAAATTTTCATCCCGTGGAAAACGCGTGATGCCAGACTCAACGCCCGAAAAAACTGACGGACAAGCACGCGTTATCGCATATTTCGAGCGTCGTAAAAATAACACGCGATTTAACGATGTTCATATTTTTTAGAGCTTTAAATTTTGGAAATCAATTTTAATTATGGAACCTCAGGTATACATGGAATCGCAAGATTTCTAAACATCATCTGGCCATCTCCATCTGGCCGTTAAAAATGAACGGAGAAACGGGGGAACCATAAAAGAAACTGTAATAGTTAGAGACCCTTCGAATTCTAAAACGTCAATCAGGCTCCACCTTTCAAGTCCCGTCACTAATTAAAAAAGACATCGAGTGATCGATACTTTTTTTTAACACAGAAACGAACGTAACCCATAGATGAATTATACAAATTGCCAAAAAAGGAAGAAATAACTTTTTTTTTTCTGTACCTTTTTCTTTTATTCGATCTCGGTGCAAGTTACAATACAATTACAGAGGTTTACGCGTCAGTAAGAAAAGAATCCACTCGCGTTTCCGCTCGAGTCGTCCAATCGTAGCCTAGTCGAACGATCCACTTCGACTTTTTACTGTTCCCTACTCGAACAAGTGCTCGCCTCCTGTTCCCGAGTCAAAGGAGAACGCAGAGAGTCGATGAGAGTCCGCCCCTCCTCCCACGATGTCTCCCGCCAGATTTCATCAAATTCGCCAAGCGTCATGCGCCGTGTGACGGGAGTAATTAAACTTTCAGGTAACCGCGAGGACTGGAAATCCGTCAAGAAGCCGGATGGCGACCCGTTGCAAATTTATCCGAGTGAGTAAAATCGAATTACTTAATTCCGTATTTATATTCGGCCGGCGAGAAACTAGTTTTCCCGGACCTGTCATCGAAAGTTGAATGTAAAATAAAAGAAAAACAACAAAACCCGAAATTACGGGGCTTGCTCGTGGAGATTATTATTTTTTATCGGGGTGAGTCGAAGGTGGTTCCTAGGAACTTCCGTTCTCCAAAAAAGAAATAGAAGAACGGAAAACCACCAGAATTAACTTGTTTCTTTGGTCTTTGGATCGATTTTTTTAACTTTATCACAACCGGTACTGTAATGTAGTCGCTCCTAAATCTATTCTTCTCAGTCTTGCGCATCTTAATTAACAATTCGACATTGTGACTTTAATCTGGAAGTTTCTTCACATGTGTGAATGTAAAATTTTCTCTGCACTTCGATATATTACTTTCGTAACTGTTTTAAGTAATTTCCTTTATAATATTTTTTTGTCGAAAGACAGAATTTTTTATGTAAAAGTTACTGTTCACTTTGATATATTATTTAACTGTTTTATGAATTCTGCCTTCCGTCGAGAGAATCGACGCTCCATCTTAGCGTCTGTCCCGCCGTCTCCGCTGATAAAAGTGACTAACATCGGCTTAAAAAAAATGGCCGCTGTGCAGCAAACGTGAAAGGCGCCCGCCCCTGCTTCTTAATAATAAATTCTACTCCGCTCGTACTTTTCCGCGGCAGGTCCATTAATTTAATTTACTCTTTCGCCTAGTACGGTGAAACGTTTATTCAACGTGCGTCCAATAATCCGCATGAATTCGCGCGTTTACTTTGTTGCTTTGAGAACTCGAGTGAACGTCTAACGCCGCGGCTAATAACTATTAATAATTTCCCCATAAAACATAGTTACCGTTGGAAAGTCGACTTTCCGCGTAACGTCGCAGCTCAAAGCTATGTTGAACGACACGACAATAACATTAAAGTCGAAAATTGAACAAAAATGAAAGCCTGGAACACCAGGTACCCTGTTGAAAATAGGAATACTAATTTTAGGTGACTGAAAAATACCAAATGTGACCTTCACCAGTTCCATTTTAAAATATTTAAAAATTTCGAAAATTTCATGAACTTCAAGATAATTACTTGCCCGAATAATTGAAAAAAAAAACACCTTTACAGAAATATTGTTTACATTCGACAGTTTTCGATCTCCACAAGATTTCGTTGTTCGTACCGTGCCCCGTGGAAATTTCTTCGATTTCCCTGACCGTGGCGCAGTAACGACGGGGGAAACACAAAGATCCGCGCGTCATGAAATAATAATAAACACGATCACATGGAGGTCGCGTCTCATTCAGTTCTCGAACCAGCCGAATACCGAAAATGTAAGCGAAGTCCCGAGTTAACAGCCGTGCGGGCGCGTATTATCCGGCGTAGAACAGAAGTCGAGGGGGTCGAAAGTTTCCGGATACGAGGGCTCCTTCGACCCTGCATACCCAGAATGCATAAAACGTGAATTTAGGTGTTCACCGGTAGGGGTTAACAGCCGTATCATGCGGCACGCGTGACGTTACGACTCTCGCCCCCTCCCTTCAACGAAAAGCTGCCAGATACTTCCGAAATTTCTCCCTCGATGAAAGACGCGGTCCTTTTTCGTGAAGGTGAAACCACGTGTTTGTTATTACCGTCGAGTCTTTCAAGGTATAAAATGTATGTTTCTAGAAAAGTTGTCAGTGTTTCGTGAACATTCGAGCTGGCCACGTCGAGTGTGAAATGACCGTACTGCAGTAAAGTCTCGATAAGTGTCTTCACTATTGGACGGGTTTTTTGGAATTATTCAAGTGGTTAGAAGAATACGGTTACTTATGGGGGTCAGACATCGTGTCCGTCCGTTTTGAATACTCGCAGGATTTAACTGTATTCGCGATAATTCGCAGTGTGGATTTGTTCTTCGATCGTGAGCTTCAATGCTTGTGAACATTGGGATAATTATTTGTAGTGTCGGTGAATTCTGCGTGCCTCGAGTTTGTGACTGTTCCCAGGATCGTTGGTTCTATTTCTTTTAAGCAGAAATATAGACGTTCTCTGTTTCACGTGTGGTTGTCGACGGGACAATTGGTGATTGATAATCGATGAACCGTCGAACGGAATTTAAACGATGCGGAAAATTCTCTTTGTTCGTACAGAAACGCGATGCAGGACACGCGATACGATGTTTCCCCTTGTAAAGCAGAATAGAAGGAAGCAATACAAATGGAGTTGCGATATCGAGTAGCGAAAAGATCCCATCAATTTTTTATACCGCTCGTGCGATACTTCCGATTCTTATCGATTCTATCTTCGCGGAGAACCCTCAAAGGAATATCAATCGGACCGTGGTTTTATTTTGTTAAACGAAGTGCCCAGGACGATGTAACAGAAGTTCCTCTGCCGCGGGAAACGAAGTAGCGAACTCACTTTCCGTTCTTCTATTTTTCGACCTGGAACGGACGGGAATGAAATTCATTAGAATGTTCTCCGGTCGACAAAACACGCGTTCGCGATGCTCTCTCCCGACAAGAGAGTCGGAGGCAGAGTCACATGACCTGTTCCTTTTTAAAAGAGACGGCACTGATCTTTATCGGGTATTCAAAAGACCTCCACACCCCCCCCCCTCCGCCCCTATCCAGCCGGAGATGCTTCGGGATGCAAAAGCTTGTCGATCCTCGACACTCCGGATCGAGTATCGTGCGAGTTACGAGATCGAATTCCAATAAACACCGGGAACCTGGGCGGAACATCGGTTACCTGGACAGCCTGGCTTTTCTCTTGCTTGAAGTGCCTGTTAAAACGATTCGGCTTGTATTAACGAGGAAAAAGGTAGTCAATTCTCTTTTCACCTGATACATCCGTGGAAAAACATTAGAGACAATCGTAGATTCCGTTATAGAGGCTGAAACAATAAAAAGGAGGTCATAACTTCTGGGGTAGATAGTACTTGACAAATGACGAAGAAAAGTTCTGATAAATATGGATCTAGAAATTAATATTTTCAAAGTTATTGACGATTTTTGGTTTCGGTTGAAGTTAGTGACCTTCTCGACTCTGGAGTCATCGTACCGTATGAAAACAATGATGAAGAATATTCTAAATTCTAAAAGAACTAACGAAAAATTATAGAAAACATTCTCTAACCAGGAACCAAAGAAATGACAAGGTAAGCCATTGTTTCCATACGATACGGTAGCTCCGAAATCGTCCGCTTTAAAGTCGAAAATTGTTTACAACTTTTAAAATATTCACTGTCGACCGATGTTTATTAGGACCTTTTATCATTTGACAACTACTATCTACCCCAAAAGAAATAAACCCTTTTTCTCATTTCACCCTGTATTTCATCCACCTGATTCTTCGAATATTACAGATTATTTCGTTCGAACAATCTGGTGTCGGTTACCAACGATCTAAAATTAAATGAAGAAACGGGACAGTTTGACCGTGAAGGTATCAAGATCACACCGATTAAATATCGAACCCTTATTACCGTCAGTCCACCATCGAAATTTAATTAAACTGAAAAGGGACAATAGACTTCCGTTTGCTAACGAAATCGACGGATTCTCCGTGCGTGATACACCAGGGAGTCGTAGTCCTATCCAAGAAGAAACGATCCGTACGTTTATAGAATTCCCCCGGAATGCTTAAACTCGATGGATACAGTCAGGTGAGAAGGGCCCCGTCGCGGTTCGGCGGGTGGTGGGGGTGTGGGGAAAGTCACCCTCGGGTGCCTCCTATTCCCGCGCCACCTCGATCCTGGCGAAGAAACCGTGGCGAAGAAGAGATGACGACGAGGAACGGCAGTGGTGGTGGCAGCCTATCGCACGCGATCGTGCTTCTCTTTATCGAGGGCTTCCTTCTCTGTGGTTTTTTGGGCACGTTCGATTACGCCCCGGAGGCGGACGCCCGTAAGAGGGAGAACAGCGTTTCGCCTCATCTAAATGGAAACCTGACTTCTTTGCCGGTCACGTACACACGTAAGTCCTTCGACTCGTTCCTTTTCACCGGCATCTTTTTTCTCCTTATTCGTCTTCTTCGAGGCGAACCTCCATCACTATCCTCCCTTCGTCCCAGCTTCCGCCACCCAAGCTCGTTTGTCTCTCACCGGTGCGCGGCAGGGTGCTTCGCGTTTTAACGGGCAAACTTTCGGGATGATACCCCGTGACACTCGGAATGAGAAACAATGGGCCCTGGAAATTGTCCACGGGGAAGTTCATTGCGATGGTCCACTCGTGGATTTTTTTGTTTTTTTTTTGTTTAACCGTTCTGGGAAGATTTATGGTGCTAGCATTACATTTAAAAGACGCGTTAGATCATCTCGAGTTTCTGGTTTTATTTTATTTATTAACGGGATAAGTATTGTTTAGTAAAACAGTTGACGTACCACGAGACGGACGTAAAAAATGATGTAAGGGAAGGGCCTCTTACCACTTTGATTCGGAGTTACTGAAATTTCTGCTAAATTAACATTTGGTTTAACGTTTGTTTCGGTATTTCAAATGAATCTATCGAACGATAGGATGCCCTCATACCTACACTACTTTTTCCCTTAGAGGAAGTCGAGTTTGCTCGCGAGCGTACATGAAAATAGAAGTAAACGATAGTCTTGTTAATTATTGACAATGCAAAGAAAAGCATTCCTTAATGCTAGTGTAGAATAATAGTTCCACCGATAACACATGACGCCTGAAAAATCATTCATCGATGACTCACTGTATACGTGCTTCTTGCGCAATGTCCTCTGCTGTCGTTGATTAAAATCAGTCGTTTCGGATTTTAATGTAAAGTGCTTCTTTTCTTCGTCCGTGTACGCTCACCCCAATGCGCGAAGTTCGATCGTAAAAAGCGAAAACACGCCGCATCCTCTAGCCTGAAACTCACGACAGGGGAGGGGGGTGTCCAACTACCCCTCGAAAGATCGCGAAAAGAGCGGAAGAAGAGAGGGCAGAGAGGGTGGCGAGACAGGCTCTATGGAAGATAACGAGAGACGCGTGCGTAA